AGTGAGTTCCCATTTGCCCATTTCCTTTAATTCATCGATCACATTTGTTTTTTCATAGTTTTGCTTTTGGGGGTTATTTGATGGGGTTTTTTGTTTGGTTTTTTTTATTTTTTTTTATTCTCAGTCAAATGGGTCTGTAGCAGAAATGGTGCCACTGATTGAGGAGGGAAAGATGAAGATGATGGAGATGAATGAGACCAGGAGGAAACTGGGGAGCTTCCAAATATGCGCGCCCTGCACTTGCTGTGGAGGCGCTAAGGGCCTGTGCTTGCCTTCTCCTTGTTGCTATGCCATCAATTGCAATATCCCCAACAGGCCATTTGGTTTCTGCTCTTTCACTCCCAAATCCTGTAATTGCTTTGGATGCAATCTCTAGCTTATATATATAGATATATATATCTCTGAAATTGCTATGGATATATGGTATTATTGGTTAGATTTTAAGTTAGGGGTCATTTGAAATCTCTGTTGCTCTGTTCTGGCAAGGATTGATTTGAAAGAAATCTCTCCTGAAAATTTTTTGTTTATAGTTAAATGGAATTATGATGTTTCTTTCAGACCCACTTAGTTCCAGGATTTATCTAAGAGTTGTGAGAGTAGCCATTCCTGAAGATAGGATTGTGAGGTTGGTTACCATTTTTTTTTTTCTTTTTGCTGTATTTTAGGAGACATGCTTTCATTTGTTGATGGAGCTGCTGCTGCTACTTGTTTATTTTATTGTAATTGAAGAGTGACCGTGAAAATTACGGTACGAACTTGGATGATATGATAGAGCATATTTAGATGGTAAAGGATATGGGAAAGCCTTGATGTTATAAGATGTATAGAATTTCATGAAGTGACTTTGTGTTTGTTCTTGTTGTAATATTACAAGTATACATGTTAACTTTTTCTATCTAGATTTATTCGTCGATTGATTCGTTGGCCTCTGAGAGTTGTTTACTTGATGAGTTTGGGTGTTTTGTAATATTACAAGCCTTTACTCGATGCCTCTTCTTTCATATTTTAATCACATAACTCTAAAAAGGTCCAAAAAGATTGTTCACATTGTCCTTGAAATTTGCTTTCTTTTGTTGCTTCAAAAGAAAAAGAAGAACAAAAAAGTAACTACTAGTCAAGGTTTGATAAGACTCCTCTTATTTGGAGATGAGGAGTGAGAATATTTCCTTCAAAAGGGGAAAAGAACAGGCTTTTGTTTTGTTTATCAAATCTTTTTATTTATTGGAGGAGTGAGAGTGGTGTAACTTTGTTAAAGATGTGTGGAATCAATCTTTTAGTTACTAACTCTCTATTATTATAAGGTACTAATTGGAGATGATTGAGTAAAAACTACTGTATTCTTCTTCTGTGTTTTTCTCTTTTTATCCAGTTGGTGTCTTCTTCGTGACTCGGAGCATGAAATATTCAAAATGGGACAAAGTTCTTAGTTTCGGTTTCGGGTAGGTAAAAGAATAGCGAACGTTTTTTTTTTTTCCCTTGTGCACATTTGTGGGGCTGATGTAGGAAAGAGACAAGGGTGTAACTTAGAAGTTATATCAAAATTAAGTGCCTTGATAAGAGTGTTTTGAAGAATCTAATTCACCCTCTTTCTTTGATGCAACACCCCATGTGATGCCTTGAGGACAAATAACTCACTCTCAACTTGTTGCTGTTCTCATTTTCTTGTTTCCCTTATTTTCTTTTCTTCTTCTTTTGTGCCCTTTGGAGACTCTTATTTGCTAAACCAACTATTTCGGGATGTCTCGTTTACATACATACATATTCGTACAATATTTGGTATCAACCAGTACTTAGTTGCGGTTGGTGATGTTTCCATGGTATTGCTTCTCTGCCAAAACTCTAATGTCATTTCCCTTTTCCTAGTCGTCGAGCCTGATCGACCCGACTCTTTTGAGCTTTTTTTTAAACTTGTAACTGAGGTTATTCTCTGTATGTGTAAAACCTTGATTGTGAGTCTGTGAAAGACTGTTTTTCTGTAGACCTGTGAATGAATTTGGTACTACATAGAAGAAGCACATGAGATGTTCACATATAGAAGAACTGTGATGTAGGGAAACACGAATTACGAACACGCCTGCCCCCTCCCCCAACGCCCGGGTTCTCGAGAGAGTGAGGAATGAAAAACAATGATGAGATATACTGAGAGGGATTACTGATATGAGTTCTGAATCCATTGCACTATTTTCCTCGATTTTTAACGAGTGGATCTGTTTGTTTTCAAGTGTAGAATTAACACAACTGCTGCTTCCCAACACTCTATCTATCGAGATCACGAAATGGAGACATGGATCGGATTGGATTCTATTTTATTTGTTTAAGCAACAGGGTATGCGTGGAAAACTGTCGTAAGCAACGATTGTCGAGCACAAATTTTTAATTTGTTAAACAAGTATCTTGTCTAGTGCATGTCGAACACGAATATGCTACCTAAACTAGAGCGTCCGTGCTTCATAGTATATGGCTGTTGAAAAGGGAATCTAGTTAGATGAATTTTATTGTCCTCTTTCTTCCACATGAGTTAAAATAATTGGTGAAAAACACAAGATGGCAGTCTTAAAGTTTCTGTAGTTTTCAAATATAGGATTCTGATTGGAAACATCCAAAGTTGCTTCTGTTGAAAATGGACAGAAGAATCCTTTTTTCTTTATTATTATTATTATCATTTTCTTACTTACCCATTGTTGAAAAATCAGGTTTGTTGCATTCACCTCTTTCCAAATTTGACTATTTAAAGTTTCAAAAAAGGAAAAAGAAGACTTCAAAGTTTGTTTCATTTTGGTCCTGAACTTTAATAGAGTACCATTTTGGTCCTTGAACTTTTGAAATGTCAATTTTAGTCCCTAAATTTTAAAGATGATTATTTTGGTCCTTGTTATATTATTTTGCTACCTAAAATTTGCTTACCAAATCATCAATTTTAACTGTGGTTTGAATACATGACTACGTTAATACTTTAGTATACGTACTTGAATTTGTGTTATGAATTAAGGACCAAAATAGTTACTTATTTAAAGTTGTTGGATTAAAATAGACATATTATGAAAGTTCAAGAACATAAAAGGATAATTTTTTAAAATTTAGAGACTAAAATAGACACTATGAAAGTCCATGGATCAAAATATAATAAACATGAAAGTTCTAGGATTTAAGCCAAAAAAAAATAATAATCTTGAATTTATATATTTTGTTTAAATCTAATGTTGATGGTTGAACGTTAATTTTGTTCCATTTTGATTTTTAAATTTGTTGCTTAGTCATAATTGACATATATCTCCAACTAAGAGGTTGTAGTGCGATTCCCACCCCTACATGTATAAAAAAAATGTCTATTTTAATTCTTGAACTTTTGAAAAAATTACTATTTTGGTTCTTACCTTTATCTTTCCTTTAACAAATTGATAGCATATGCACTGACATGTTAATGTAAGTATTATTCGAGCTGCATAGTTGGAAGCAGATATTAAATAAGTGAATATTAGGTGACAAAATAACATAGTGATCAAAATGATAATTTTTTAAATAAAATGAACTAAAAAAATTTAGAGATAAAAATAGGTATTTTAAAATTTTAAATACTAAAATACAACAAACATCAAAGTGCAGGAGATCTAAACTTATATTTTGTTTCATCTCTTCCACCTATATTTAACTATTGAGAATAATTTTTTTTTATTTCATTTTTGGAACTTAAGAGTGGGAACCAGTTGTAAAGTTCCAAAAGGAATAAATTTGAATTTGAAGGGTAAAAAAGGGAGAAAAAATAATTTTTTGAAAGATGAGAGTTTGACTGAGACTGCTGAAATAAAGAAGCCATTGACAAATATGCCACTGCCACACACAGTATCACAGATGGCAAATTAAACAATTGGATAAACATTTATTGTTTCGGTATTTTCAAATTTAGTCCCTATAGTCAAAATAATTCCAATTTGGTCCTTTATGTTTTAATATATTTTAATTATACTTTTATATTGTTGATTTTAATGTATCATTGAAAAATGTTTAAACCTAGGGCACAAACTTAAATTCATATGTCCAAAATTTTCAATTTTTAATTTTGATGTTTTTAACATTAAACACCATCATTTAAGTGTTGACATGATATAGTAATTGGGTTAAAAAATGATGATTTAGCACAAAGCGACACAAGCTAAGTCCTCGATAACTATTTTGTTTGGATTTTTTGTTTTTAAAATCAAGTTGGTAGAAATAATGATTAGTTCACTTAAGTCATGCACCTTCCTCACAATTTTACATGTGATTTATATCAAATGTATGCGATTTGACAAGGATATTAAGAAATCGCTATGGTTTAAACTCATTCCCTCTAACCCTTTTACTATTTTTTTTTTATATTTGTGAGTGTCTGGACCGACTAATCTCCCAAGACAATCGCCTGACCCTACAATATTTGGTGCCAAAACACGTAGGAATTACTAATTCCAAAAGTAGGCAGTCATCATGGAAACCCTTTACTATTTACATTGACCCTCATCAACCACTAGACCAAACCATGATGACCGTATCCAATAGATCCCTAAACTTCTAATATAATATCTACTAGATCCTTGAACCTTCAGATGTCAACGAATTCTCATTCTTTTCTAATCCTTTATAAAATTTAGTATTTATTGGACACAATTAAATTTGCATGGAATAAGTTTTTAGACTTTTAATCCATATCTAATGTATCAAACATTTATTAGAAACAAAATTAAAAATTCAAAGATTAATTAAACACTTTCTAAAGTTCAAAAATCTATCAAACACATCTATCAAACACGTATCAAGAATTTACTTATTATATACAATTTTAAAAGTTATAAAGGATTATATTTAATTTAGTCTTTGTTTTTATAATTACCCTTCATTTCTTTTAGCAAAATTGTTATTGTTGGGTGGTTCCTTCTTTGTTCATTCATATTTCTCAATAGAATTTGGTCTCTTCCTCAATATTCTTGGGCAGTTAATGAGAGAAGGAATATCATCATCATATTTTCTTTACTCTAAACTCATAAACGAAGGTTGTATTCTATTATTGTCTTTCAGTTTCTTTCCAAGTACAACTCTTAACATATTTCAACACTACAAGTTGAAACTTTATAACATTTTAAATACAGAGCACGACGAGATTAGAATCTGTACCCGAGGTTTCACATAAAGATATTCCGCTGCATGAGTCGCTGATTTACTATCATCCTTCCTCTCCTTGCCGTTTTTTGAATCCCGACAGCGTGTATGTTATACTGTGTTCTCGACATCAATATGACAACGTACATTGTTACAAATTTGTCAAACAATCGCCTTATCAAATGTAAAGGCCTACCGTCCCGGGGTATGGATCTTTCCAGCACTCGTCTTGCTTAACAGCATTCCTCCATCTTGTTCTAAATATACCTAGTTCGATATAGGACTGTCTTCTCACCTACATGAATGAAATCAAATTCAAACCAAAATAAACAAATAATATGGAAAATGAAGGTATAATCGACGTTCTTTCAAACATTGTGACATCCAGCTTAAAAGAATTGAACTTGAACATGGCTGTCACGATGTGATCGTCCCAACTATCGGATGTAAATCCAAAATCTATATGAACCCTATTAACTATTGCATACAAATTCAAAAAACGTTATGTGATTTCTCTCTCATATATCCAACGGTATAAAACTACCAACCACATTGTTCTAGCCTCCTCCACAACCTATCATTTTGGGGGTGAGTATTTTTTTCATGGGTGGAATTGGAAGCATAAATCGCTCCAACATGCTGTTGATGAATAACATATAACAGGTTGATTTTACGACTATGAAACTAAACAGAAAGAAGGAAAAAGAAGAAATCAAATTCATCTTCTGAAGGAAAAAGAAGAAATCGAATTCATCAGCTTGATCCAGAAGAGGCTAAAATAACACATAACAGCCCTTAAACTACTACACTCTATCCAATTCCAAACAAAGTAGAACTAGAATCAGTTATGAATCCATGAAGAGTCAAAAGAAACAAACGAAACCGAGATCGGTGCATGAAAACTTACGTCAGCTCTATGATCCTTTACGGGAGAGTTGGAAGATGTCTGCAATGTAGAGACCTCATGTTATTTGATGTTCATGGAGCTTAAGAAAGAGAAATTTCCCTTCCAAGACTTAAGAAACACCAAAGTATCCTTAGTTTTAGAAGTTTCATAAACAAAATATAAACTACAGTTCAAAAAACAAGAAAAGAACGAAAACGAACACACCAATATTTAGTACACATGAATTGATCGAGACGTCATCGATAACAAGATGGATACTACAACAAATTATGAAGATAATGAACAAAACATAACATGCTTATACCATCACTAGATAGGACATAATAATAAGCATATCTGCATTCAAAAGCTTGATTTAACTGTGTTGATGCAAGTAAAATTTAAAAATCTGTCATATTTTAAACCTCATTTTCTTCTGGACCACCAAGTGTAGGTCGTCCATAATGGACTACATACTCGGCGTCAACAACACCGACGTTCTTTGTTCGATCGCCCTGTTAGGAAAAGAGCCCAAAATTTCAAACAACAGCAGTAGAATATTGAAGGAAAACAAGACAACTACTAATATCTGACAAATAGAAAACTTGCCTGTGCACAATATCCAAGTTGCATATCCAAGCCCCAAGCATGGATCAAATCATTCTGCTCGGCAATAGGAATGTACTTCGATTAAAAACGACGCACTCGACTTTCATTTCCTTTGATAAAAATATAAAATAGGCCAGAGCAGTGGAAGGAAAAGGAACAGCCTTCATTAGAGTTGTGAAAGTTTCAGTTTCCTATTTCCATCCATCCAAATTTTAACTAAATTCAAGTGGTAGCCTATCAGTTTGTTTGTCTATAGACAGTCTTTATATTTTACCTACTCAGCTTACATCAAAAAGCAACAACCTACCTGGATCATATACCAAGCACAACGCCATGCCGCTCGGGAAAAAACCGGGGCCATCATTTCTATCCATCTACAATAGATCATATTTTTCAGGCAGAATCACTTTGCCATTAAGCACAGGTCTACAAAAGCTATCTTTCTTGAGCACAACAAGCAGACAAACAAAGGTATAGAGCTTCCTCTAATCGTACTAACCCGGTGCATGGAGGAGATTTACTGTTGACATCACAACCTTTTCCACCATTATTAGGCCTAAACGTTCTCCTGCAGGAGGGACAGACCAAAGATAGAACCATATAACAGTGAAAAACTGAAAAAAAAAAACATTCAAATTGCCTATGACCAATGACTTCAAAAGGTAAGATATTGATGTCTGAACAATTCGTTGCTAAAGTAAAATAATAATAAAAAAAGCATAGCATGCTCAACTCCAAGTATGACTTGTAATAATCTGTCTTCGGGAGCATAAGATAGATTCTTTCAACATTTGAGTTGTTAATTTACCTACTACTAAAATATCACCCGTCTCCACCCATGATCTCAATATCACAAGTCCATTTTTGTCTAAATTATGGTGTAAGAGGACTTCTAAATGGGGTATTTCATTAGTGATTCTTCCAGGTCCGTAGCTTGTTACGTGAATTCAAATTTCATATGCAGAAAGAAGTATAAATCCTTCATATACCAGACGCTCATTATTTAGTATCGCATCTTCATAATGAGTCGACTCCCAAAGTCCCATCATACCCTCATAACAAATAATTAGTAATCTTATGGCTTATGCAAAATCCTAAGAAACTGCCCAGAGGCAAACATGTCATAACTTAATAGTTATACTTATGAATTTAGTGCACTATCTGCTACTTCACTTATTCCACAGCGAAAAAGCTATGAGATTATTTCTTCCATGAAAATTAGTACAGACATAAGGGTAGGGAAAGAAGACCTGTGCACTGTCGATCGCCTCCCACGAGCAGTAATTTGATGGTGCACCTCTGATTTATATGGATCAAGTGCTGGTTGTGATATCTCTAACCCTTCACTTTTAATAATATTTACATACCTTATAATGAAAACAGTGAGAAAAAACATGGGAGCTGGTCAGCATTTTCTCTCTTGGAAGTTACTAATTTGAAATTTCTAAGATAACATTTGAGGAACAAATTATCATGTGCTTATGTTTTGTTTGTCATCAACAAAATTGCAGTGAACTTACTGTTTCGGATCGAAATTGTCAACTCCAAGGTCCTCATCCCAAAGAAAGACATAGTTATATTCTGCCACAATATCAGGATGTAAGAAGCGCTTGGCAAACCACCTAAAAACATCATCAAATCAAGGACCAGTGAAATGAAATCAAAGTCAGCACTTGATCTCATGGATCAAATATCTACCATTTAGTTTGATTGACTGCTGTTACGTGTATTACGCGGTTACTCCAATTAAACTCCTTCCACTCGTCCATGATACTATCGTAATGGAAGAGCATCACAGCAAAGTCGCTAGAAAGAAACTGTAGAATCGACGAATCATCGTCAATGAGTATAAATAAATAGCCACAGAATTTACAAGTTAGATTTGAATTCAGCAATATGATTATAATTTTCCCCATACCTTTGTTACCATTTTATTCACAAGATCTTTTTGTTTGATCCCAACGGCCACAGTAAATAAATTACTTGATGAGTTAACAGGATTCTGTAGTCAAGCTATGCACAATCAGTACAAGTGTAAAGATCAAAGGAATCGACAAGCACAATCATAAACTTTCAGTGTTCAATTATGAGAAGTGCTAAAAACACTTAAAAGAAAGTGTTCATTTAATTAGCTTAATTAATGCTTTTCTCAAAAGTGCTCGTAGAAAAAGTATTTCACTTTAAAATACTACACCCAAAATCATCTCAAACTCACCCTAGAATAACTTCCCAAACTCGCTCTAAAATAAGTTAGGATGATAGTTGTCATTTAAAGTACATTCAACTAGAATGAACATTTCCTAACACTAACAAGAGGAAGATCTGATGCGTTTCACGTTCCATCTTTGTTTTAAAGAAAATGAACAAAAATGACAGCAAAACATAAAAGAAAAGCATAAAATTATTTTTTGAAAGTGCTTGTAGAAAGCATAAAATTCTTTAAAATACTACACCTCAAAATCATCCTGAACTCACTCTAAAACAACTTACAATGATGTTGTCATTTAAAGTACATAAACACTAATGAACATTTCTTAACATTAACAATATGAAAATCTGAAGCATTTCACATTCCATCTTCGATTATCTTGATCCACTAAAAGAAAGCATAAGATTATTTTTCTGAAGATTATCTTGATCCATTACCCGATAATATTTCCTTGATGCACCCCATAATGGTCGCATTTCCAAGTTAGATGCATTGGCAACAATGTCTTTAGGAAGCGGCTCGCTTCCATACGGCCTGCATTGATTCTAATGCAAATAAACAAGTATGAGTATTAAATGCAAAAATCATTTATATAACATATAGATGAAGCTCAATACGAAAAATATATCCATTCTCATGATAACGTTTAGAATAGCAAACGAACCTCACATTTATTGAACTTTGAACCAACTAAACCATCTATTCCCCATCTAGAAATTTTCTGCAGAAGAAGAACCAAACATATCATTCTATTTTTTAGATAAGAAACCATACCAAACATATCATTCTAAATGATCAATGAAGCTAAAATTCTTTCAAACACTCATGGAGCAGCATAAATATGTTTTATTAAAGATGTCTTCTGTTGCAAAAGCCATAAAACATTGAAAGAATGGTCAAAAAGAGCAACAAACAAAAAGAAAAGTTGAACAGTCCTCTGTAAACAAACTGATAAGTGATCAGCAAAACCCCTATAATCTATGAAAGGCTTCGCCCATCCTAAAGCCAACTTCAAGAGACAACCAGAGTTTAAGTTATTGAGTAATCAATGGCTTAAATCCAATACTTTGAAGAGTATCTCCAAACATCTCAAGCTCTAACCACCAAGGCAACTCTTGTGGCACCTACGGAAGGAGAGAAACCAAAGAGCTTCCAAAGATAAGTCATTTTCGTCTGAATTTTTTGTTTCTATAATAGTGTACGACACACTTCTTCTTGGTGGTGCTCTAATCATAGGAAATTCTTTTATAATTATTGTCTTCTTGTGATTATTTTATAT